GCAAAAAAATGCATTTTCTCTAAAGATCATATAATGCCTGGTGTCTTCAGATCCTTCGGTGAAACTTGGTTAGAAACCATTCCCAAGATTTATGATAAGGTGGAGCTAGGGAATTAGAGGAATTCTATAAACCCCCCCCCCCTCTCCTCCCTCATATTACACTCTCACACTGTCCCCGCTCAAACATTTATAAGAAAAAGAAAATCTTTTCGTGATTTAAAAGGGGGGGGGGCAGATAATCGAATATTAGGATTGAATCAAAATATTTCTTATTATTCAATGTTTTCCACCATTTTCTTTTTGCATGATGGATTTAGTTTTTCCCGAATGATAATTTATCCTGACTTTTTTAGTTTATCTTTCATAACTAGTTAATGGTCATATCCCTTACTCTTTAAACACTGAGCAGTATTTTTAAAGGATTTAATATTTATTTATTTCATGTCTCACATTGTAAATATGCGGGCTAATTGAATAAATCTATCCATCCATCAATCTATAAATCCATCAATTAACCAAATCCGTCCACAAACCAAGTACGTATATCTCCCCTCCCCTCTAATTGATATAAGTAGTTGAATATATTCACAATAAACCCAACCAAAACTAATTTAACAAAAGTTGGCTTGTTCAGCAGTGCAATTGATCTTCCTTTTTAAATTTACTTCGATTTGACTTTTGCAGATATTTAACATTTTATAGTTAAAATATTGATTTATTTAGGATTTTAGAAAACTTTGTTAAAAATTAGCATTGTAATACCTAATTTCAAAATTAGCATAGTATTACCAAATTTCAAAAGCCATAATCTAATTGTGTCTGCCAAATTTTATTTTATGAAAATAGCTGAAATATTGTGTCTGTAATTTTTCTGCAAGAAAACAATGCAGACGGATATGTTTACTGTGTTTGTTTACAACCGTATGCAGTTAAAACAAATTGTAAACATAGCAGACGAAAATCCTTCGGATTTACAGCTTTCTCAGTAGGTATCACTGTATTTAGACTAAACCACTAATTCAATGAATTATTTAAAAAGACGATATCGATATCGTCACTCATTTCCTATGTTTTTTGGGACAGCCTGTATCATTTTCTATTTCCTACATATATCTTTGCAACCTTATCTCGTAGACCTATGTTATTTCAAACCATACACTCTGCTATTTAAAAAAGCCGAAACATTAAAAGTTGTTACAAGTAGGTTGCAAAGTTGTAAGGATAGAAAATTAGAGATCGGAGCCAGAGATCTGATCCTGTACCGCGTAAACTCCTAAAACTAAAAAAAAAAATTTGAAAATCACAAATTAAATTAAAAAGATAAAATAACATGACATCGATGATTTAAGTGACATTCATTATTTCATCGTTGCTATCATTATCCTGATAATTTTTATGATTATTATTATTATCCTGTATAGGTATACACCACGGGACTAATTGTATTTTAACATGAATCCGAACAATGTAACAATCTTCACATTTCTGATAATATTTCATAGTTTCCCGGACATTTTCTATACAACTGCTGTAATGCAGCATTGTTAAAACAAATTCGAAATATAAGGAAGACGATTTTTCCGACTCAAATGCCGACGTTAATTCTCTAAATGTGTGTGTACACAGGAAGCAAGCACACCACATGTGTCAAATCCCCGCTCACCTTAGCTCCCGCTCCACCCGGCAGTCAGCCACATACACTCAAGACATCCACAACTCCACCCTGGCTCCTTTGTGATGATGATTCAGATACAGAACTAAGTGCAGAAGACACTGCTTACACCTAGCTTCCGCGCTCCACAATGTTCCAGAGATCCGGGCGGATATCAGACGTCCTTCCATTATCCTGTATACAGGATAAGTCCGCAATCTCTCTCCCTGAGACTAAGCCTGATTGTAAGTAAGCCTGCCAAATCCTGCCGTCAAGATTGATGATCTGCACCACCATCATGAAGCTCTACAAACTCTTTCCAACCGATATTCGTCTATAGTTTCTTTATTAATTTCTATACCAGCCAATTTAAGCCCCACTCGGGAAAATATTTCATAACCTTTTGTTTTTTTATAAATAAAGATTAGAAATACCGTTAGATCTCTTTTATTTTATCATATTGACTTTTAAAGTCAACAAGCATACGTTTCTTTCATTCTAAAAACGCAGTTAATGCAGGTTTACGTTCAAGAGTTTACGCTCTCTAGCTTTGGGTGTTTTTGTTTCCCAGAAATTTCAAAAGTTCTGTATCAAAACCAGTCTATTTTATAAAGATTACTTTTAGAAATAGGTGATGATACGCTTTATTTTATATTTAATATTGATCCTTCTGAAAACATCTTAAGCTGGGAAGCTGTAAATATTCTTTATGAACTAGTTCTCTGTGCGAGACTTAAGAACGTTTTTAAGATTCCTTTGAGCTCTCGTGATAAATCGTTTCTTGATCAATATATACTATACACACATACAGGGATAGATAAATACATTTATTTAAATATGTTGTATATGTATATTAGTTACTTATACAGCAAGGAGCACAGTAACGATTAGAATTTATTGAATAAACTTACATTGCATTTCGATCAAATACTTACATTACATGAAGATATATAGAGTGGATACATTACGTCAATTAACCTTTCGTCAATTAACATTTCAACAATTTACATTTGGTCAACCTTACATTACGTCAATTTACATTTCGTAAACCTTACATTTCGTCAATTTACATTTCGTCAACCTTACATTTCGTCAATTTAAATTTAATCAACCTTACATTTCGTCAATTTACATTTCGTCAAACTTTCATTTCGTCAATTACTACATTTGAACAATTTACATTTCGTCAATTTTATATTTCGTCAATATTGCATTTCGTCAGCTGTGACAATAGGCTAAAAGGAGTTGAGTTTTTGCCACACACTCTGATTTTCTAATCTCTATATCTTTATTATCAAATGTCGTAGACCTTAGATATTTCAAACTATTAATACTTATAGATAAAATAATCTAAGTTTGAAATATCAAGGGTTTTCACCATCAGTTTAAAAAGATATTGGGATCAGAAGATTTCAGTTTGTGGCAAAAACTCAATTCCTTTGGTCAACTTTCATTTTTGAAAGCATGATTCCCAATCCCAGCTTGAGTATCAGCAGAACAAATCCGTGAATATTAACACACTAACTTAGCAACAACTCAAGATTTCAGTTAGTTCTCAGATTCAACATGGAAAACTGGGCTCGGGCTAATTTCATCTTGTCCAGCAGGAAAAAGAACATTTTGGTAGATCGTCAGAACTTTGAGTACAAGGATCAACATCACAAATAATGGAGTGGAGTCTTGGAACGGTAGATGGTACAACACTATACTCGAGCTACTGGAGTCATGGAACGGTAGATGGTACAACACTATGCTCGAGCTACTGGAGTCATGGAACGGTAGATGGTACAATACTATACTCGAACTACTGGAGTCATGGAACGGTAGATGGTACAATACTATACTCGAACTACTGGAGTCATGGAACGGTAGATGGTACAACACTATACTCGAACTACTGGAGTCATGGAACGGTAGATGGGTAGATGGAACAACACTATACTCGAGTTACCTGTATGTAAAGATTTCATGTTTGGTCTCAGAGGAGACTAAACTACTGTACTGTTATCTGTCAGATTTATTTGTACTCTTATTTGTATACAATTGTACCATATTCGATATCTAAATATATGTAAAATGTAGACACCCTGTAAATTAAAATTGACCAAATTTACAACTGTTTGTATCAGTTGACCAAATGTAGTAATTGAGCAAATGTAATGCAAATTGACGAAATGTAAATTGAAGAAATGTAAATTGACGAAATGTAAATTGACGAAATGTAAGTTGACGAAATGTAAATTGACCAAATGTACCCACTCCAGATATAAAAAGTAATACGTGTGTGTAACCTAGAGGCTATCCAAATAAAGTTAAGTCATCTAGCTGCAGCGCTCAGTCCCTTGGCGTAACGTCTAGAAATCGTTCCAATTCGTCCTACCTAAAACTAGTTTATGTCAGCCAAAACTGCTCATGTAGTAAGTTATAAATATGAAGTAAACAACCCCTAGACAAACTGCAGTCGTCTAGCTCCGTTCTCTTCTATATTCCCCCCCCTTCCCGGCACCCTTCTCCTACAAACAATATTAGAACAGGAAGAGACAAAATTGAAGACGGTAGAATTTGAGAGCAAACACTTGAACCTGAACCCTACCTTTCAATCCAACCTACACCTTCAATTCTTTAATGAACTTCAGATGAGTTTTTAAAAAAAGAAAAAAATACTTCCACAAAATTTAGTATCTTTAGATAAAAAATTTTCTTGTAAAAATAGAAATACATCTTCCTTGAAACCTTGTTTTACAAAGAAGCAGACGAAACATATTTCATAACACTGTTATTTTGGTTTGAGATGCTATAAAGCTTTTTGACAGAAATGTCCTCTTTAACGAAAGTTCAAGCCTTTTTAGATTAAATTTCGTCCCAAGCTTTAGCAAGTGACAACATTTGTTCTATATATAATAAACTTGCAAGTAAAGAAAAAAAGTTATATTTAAGGAAACTTTTAAAATAAATTTTGTTTCTCTAAATATTCTACATTTTTTGGGGAGAAAATCTGGGAACTAATGATATGATATATAGTTTATAGCGAAATTTAACTCAATAGCACGCCGATATAATGCAATTTAACACTAAATGACCATGAGGGATATAAAATTATATACAATAGTCTCATAATTAGTTATTAGCATCTAACATTTAATATTGAGTTTCATTCTAAGATCTTAAGAATATTATATCAGAGCTAAGCTGAGCTAAGTGTTTATTTAAATTTTCATTAAACTCCTATTATTCACAATTTGTTATATTTTCAGTCTATTCAGTATTTGTATGTTAAAAGGTCATAGTGTAGATATGTTTGTACTCCAGTCTACAACATTTATCATTGACAATTACAAGTCATCCTGGCCTGAGCGATAGACTGAACAGTAACAGTGTTCTCAATCCAACCAGGATGAGCAGATCCCACTTTATCGGAGGTACTGTAGATCCAGGTTTTGAATCAGTTAAAAAACTGTTTATCAAAAACTTTGAGCTTGGATCAGATGAGAACTCTCAGTTTTGTGTATATGTAGGAGAGAGGAAGGTGATAGATCTTTGGGGAACTTTAAACAAAACTGATGGATACAATGCAGATACCCTGACTACTGTATTCAGTAGTACTAAAAGCATAACAGCTATTATGATGGCTATGGCCCGGGACCGTGATCTCCTGGAATACTCGGATAAGATTAGCAAGCATTGGCCTGAGTTTGCCCAAGGAGGAAAGGAAGATATTACAATTGCTGATTTGATGAGACATGAAGCTGGATTAGCAAACCTATCCAACCCTTTGGAGATTGAAGATTTGCTGCCAGAAAATATAAAGAAGAACGCTGCCGGGGAGAAATTAGTTCGGTGTGTACCTAGCTACCCTGAAGGAGGGAAGCGAGAATATCATGCTTTTTCACGTGGATGCCTTGCAAATGAGATCATGAGACGTGTTGACCCATTGAATCGAACATTAGGAGAATTCCTGCAGAAAGAGATTGCGAGTAAACTGCAAGCGGACGTCTATATAGGTTGTAACAAACCAGAATATTTTGATGTCAAGAATATGCCATTTATGTTTGCAATGAAGGAAGGCCTAAAAAAGCAGTTTGGACTGCAAAGTGCCACTGAAAGCACTCTATCTAATATGTTAGGATTTCTTTACCTTATCCGGAATATGATGAAGAATAAACCATCAGTCAACGGATTTACAGATTTCACTGCTGTAAACCAGTCACTAGTTCGAGCTACAGAACTGCCAAGTGTTAACGGAAACTGCTCTGCGAGAGGGATGGCTGTTCTAGCTGCGGCGCTGGCAAACAAAGGAAACTTTCAGGATACTCGTTTGATGAAAGAAACAACATGGAATGAAATGCATTCTGATCCCACACCTGGAAATGCAGCCGGTGGAGAGTTCTTGTTTACTAAGGGAGGAGTCGCTTTCTTTAACGAGGGATTGAGAGAAGGATACTTTGGTTGGTTCGGATATGGAGGTTCAGTGCTTCAATGGAACCCATCTCTCAAGATTGGATTTGCATATACTTGTACCTATTTGTTTCCGGTAATTTTAAAATTTTATATACTTTTAGTTTCTTGTATTATATTTTTTTCAGTTTGGTGTTTTGAACTTGAAAGCAGCAGAAATGCAGGCAGAAGTGGTAAAATGTTTGAAAAATATGAAGAATCCTGGAGAAAAGTAGGAAATAAACCTGTTCAAGTTCACTAAGCTTGGAGAATATTTCAATTCATTGTTTTCTACTTTATTTAATTGGTGTGAAAAATCCGTAATTTTCTAAATAATCTGCAACTGCCATTCTTCAAAAAGATTTAAATTTTTTCGTGTAGGCACTTTTAAACTTGAGCTAAGTTGTCCCTACAGGGTATGACGACAACGGGATAAAGAAAAGGAATTAGATTAATCTATAGGTCTAAATAAAATGGAGATAAATACTTAATATTGTGATTTTCAGAATAAACGTATTGACTTCAGGGCTCCATAAAATTGTAAAACAGTTTACAAAATTGATGAAAAATGATGATCAATCTCTATGAGTTTACAAAATTGATGAAAAATGATGATCAATCTCTATGAGTTTACAAAATTGATGAAAAATGATGATCAATCTCTATGAGTTTACAAAATTGATGAAAAATGATGATCAATCTCTATGAGTTTACAAAATTGATGAAAAATGATGATCAATCTCTATGAGTTTACTAAATTGATGAAAAATGATGATCAATCTCTATGAGTTTACTAAATTGATGAAAAATGATGATCAATCTCTATGAGTTTACAAAATTGATGAAAAATGATGATCAATCTCTATGAGTTTACTAAATTGATGAAAAACGATGATCTTCCCTATATGGAAAAATAAATGATAATGATTTTAATTAAAAACAATCAGGCTTGGTAACACTTGAGATTATAAAAAAGGGATTTTTAACACAAATTGAAATGACTCACCAATTGTAATTCCTGTTCAATTTTTGGATTTTATCCTATTTCATCTTCTCTCAGCAATGTTCATCTTCATAGCCTGGTTTTCAACGCTTATTTCCTGTGAATTTGTTAAATCTTGTAAAAAGAGCTTTTGAAAAGAAATGAATAACTTGAACGGAAAATATATATATATATACTACGAATAGATGCAATATGTATTGTTTTTTATATAAACAGCTTCTTCTAAAGAGCAAAATAAAAAGTGAGGGAAAAAACTATTTTTGTAAGAAAATCTAAATGTTTGGAAAATAATTGGATTAATGATTCCATTTACCTCTTTTTGTTGTTACAAGGGGTGTTACTACGCTAAACTATACAAAGAGAAAAAAGTTTAGTCTGAAATTGATTACCAGCATTACATCTTAATAACGCCTAAAATTTCATTTTGCAACACTGGGCAATGGGCATAGAAACTAACTTATTTGGTTTGGAATTGACATAATGTTTATTTTCTAATTACTTTAAACTTGCTAAATTATTTTTAAATAATAACATCCGTAGGGTTTTCAGCTAAAATGATAAATCGTTTTGCGAAAAATGCGAAAATTTCGTTTTTTTCGCATTTCGTTCGCTTGAGAAAATGCAGAAAAGTTCTTTTTGCGAAATTTCGCTTTAATCTGTTTCGCGAGAAAATGCAAAATTTCGCAAAAAAATACGGAAGAGAAATTATTTGTTCTGATATGATAAAACTTCTAATACTGAGCTCTGAGAGCAGAGAATGCCACAAGTTCTTTGGGCAATTAATTGTTGCAGCTACAACACACAGTTTTCGCGAAATTATATTCGCATCGTTTTCGCATTTTTTTCATATTTTTTGCGAAATTTTTCGTTCACTGGAAACCCTAAACATCTCTCTGACTGCTTTAGGGAAGAAAGAAGCTAAGCTTGCCTCAAACTCTAATACGTATGTCTTTGCAACCTGATAGTGTAAACATTTAATATTTCAAACTTTGACTATTAGATCATCGCAGAATTCACACTTCGAAATAAAAACGTCTAAAGACACATCAAGCTATTAAGATATCAAGACAAAAGTGTACTTAATTTCTGTTTTTAAATTTACAAGTATTATTTAGATTATGGACATCTTTGCAACGATGTACTGGTAGGAGAAGGGGGTAGTGTGTGTGGGGGGGGGGGGCTTAAAGTGTCTTTTCTATATTAGTGAGTACATAATGGGTGTATACCATACAGGATATTGATCTACAATTATTTCCGGCACTAATCAAATATACCTTGATACTACAGTTTATTTATCCTGTATAAGTCTTGTATACCTTGATACTACAGTTTATATATCCCGTATTAGTCTAGTATACCTTGATACTACAGTTTATATATCCTGTATCCATCTAGTATACCTTGATACTACAGTTTATATATCCTGTATCCATCTAGTATACCTTGATACTACAGTTTATATATCCTGTATCCATCTAGTATACCTTGATACTACAGTTTATATATCCTGTATACGTTTAGTAAACCTTAATACTACACTTTATATATCCTGTATACGTCTAGTATACCTTGATACTACAGTTTATATATCCTGTATTAGTCTAGTATACCTTGATACTACAGTTTATATATCCTATATACGTCTAGTATACCTTGACACTACAGCTTATATATCCTGTATCCATCTAGTATACCTTGATAATACAATTTATGTATCCTGTATCCATCTAGAATACCTTGATACTACAGTTTATATATCCTGAATACGTCTAGTATACCTTGATACTACAGTTTATATATCCTGTATTAGTTTAGTATACCTTGATACTACAGTTTATATATCCTGTATACGTCTAGTATACCTTAATACTACATTTTATATATCCTCTATCCATCTAGTATACCTTGATACTACATTTTATATATCCTGTATCCATCTAGTATACCATGATACTACAGTTTGTATATCCTGTATACATCCAGTATACATTGATACTACAGCTTATATATCCTGTATCAATTTAGTATACCTTTGTTTGTATCTATTATAATCTGTACGTAGTTTTGAATAAAATGTTCGTAATTTTTAATAAAAATAATCGGTATATTGAACGAAATGTTCGTAATTTTGAAGAAAATGTTCGCCATTTTGAACTAAATATTCGCAATATTGAAAAGAAATGTTCGTAATTTTGAACAAAATGTTCGTTATTTCAAAATGCTTTAGGTAAATTCGATAAACAAAAACCTAATTTCTGCATTACATCAGTATATAGAGTATCCTATCAATAGAATAGATTCTATTTTGATAAAATACTTGTAATTTAAGGGTATTTCGGAGTAGAATAGAGCAGGGTAGAAAAAAGGAGATATATAGATAGATATCATCAGAAAAGAAATCATAGCTGAGCACATAGTATTATTTGATAATACACACACTTACAAACACACCAACCGACACTCACTTGCTGTGTGGTTTATTTGTCATATAGATTCAATATTTAAATCCAGAGATATCATTTCTCATCTAAAAAAGGCGTACAGGCGTCCTGTTACAAGAAGTATGAAATCATCCAAACTTATTTTAATTAATATTACTTTGGAAAGATCGAAATCTTGATGGAAAATCATCGAAATAAAGAATTTCATATGAATTTCATAGCCTTCAAACGTTAGGTAAAATGTACGACCCTTGAATGTATGATTATGGCTTGCTTAGCCTAAATCTCTATACAATCATCAGCTGTCTATACCCACACAAAAAAGAGTCTTTAATGACCATCTGAAACTATTCAAATATAATGATATGTTGTGGAAGACGATGCCTGGCCGCGTTAAACAAGTTCCACAAGATTCAACAGAATGAGATAGAACGGATACGGGGCATAGTACTGATAAACATCTACACGTGTGATATCGATATTGACTCTAGTTCTGAACCCTCTAGTAATAAGTTATAAGAAATATATATACTGGAAGTTATTTATGCGTTTTTATTAGAGTCTGACTCACGTCCTCTATAATGTTTGTTTTTAATCTTTGTGAAGAAACAATCTCAAGAACTGACGAGGGTCAACCCAGACCGAAATATATTTTCAATAAATGTGGTACTAACTTCTACTTTTTTACTCTACAGAGGTTTGGTCCATCACAATCACCGAATTTTAAATAATGATATGATATATGTGGCAAAGAAATAAGCAAGTGTATAGCTGTAAAGAACCTTGACGATAAGATCAAAGTCGTATCTGAAGTCTCATCCTTTGTGGGTAACCCTGTATGTAAAAAGTCTTTGACTTCAGCTAGGAATTATACAATACTTATATATGCAAACTTTGTATAAACATCTCGTATAAATAAGATTTACAATTTAAAGCAAAGTAAAAATTCTAGCTTCTAATTTTATCTGAATATATATTTTAAAGTGTGAGATGTACGCCTATCTGAGTTGGTTAGGTCTGAAATCCCTCTCCTGTGGTTTAGAGGGCCTCATAATGCTCTTAAGAAGTTAGATCGTTAATTTAGGGTTTATAGGAAGCTTCTTATTGAAACTGTGTGTCGTGGAACAGAGGATGTCAAACCTTTTAGAAAAAGAGAAGATTTTTGGATAAACATTGGTTAATTCATTGCCAGATGGGCTGGATCTTAGTTACCTGTCCCTGTGTATTAGACTGAGTGTACACTTAGGACAGTTTACTGAAAAGGGATATTAAGAGATTTTTGCATATTCATACAGAACAAACATCAAATATGCACTACGCTTTTAGAGTACAAGAGTATGGGGAGGTTTTGTATCTTAAATTTTACACAGTTTACTCAGAAAAGTTTATTAAAGATGAAATATTGCTCTGCAAAAGACACGATAAAAGCAGTGGATTGCAAGAGTAATGAAAAACAAATTCTCCTAGCCGGATAAATCAGGATTAAAATTATCTTCTTTCAAAGAGAAAATTATCTCGTGCCTTCGTCTTCAAACAGAGGTTTAAGGGTACCAATGTGAACCGTACAGCCCTCTCCATTTAAAGGAAAAGTTGAAATTATGTCAACAGTTTTATTAAGTTTTTTTGATTGAAAACCCATTTCTGCTTAACTGAAAATAAATATTTTCAGAAATCACCCCTACCCCCCCCCCCCCCCCCCCCCCCC